GCTCAGCAGGAAAAGGCACATAAATGCATCGCGTCCCACTCAAATCTGCCCGTGCCATTGGCAAGAATTTGTTGGCTTTGGGCCCGGTATGGCCTGAACCCAGTATCAAAGAAATGCAGTGCTGTCCGTTATTGTAGTAATGAAAAGCACCGCTACATGACAGTTATTTCACGGACGTGCTGTATTCTTAAGCTGAGGACCCAAGCAGTACGCTATTTATCAATTGCGAACAGAGACAATGTGCTCCTTCTCCCTATGGCACAATTCGCTGAACTTCTGATCACAAACTATCTTTTTACATAAAATGCAGCATGAATTTTAATCGTTGATGCACACATCGGACAACGTGGAGCCTGCTTACTGTGTTGAATATGGTACAGACACGCTCATCTACACCATGCGGTTGGTTTCGAGTCTCGACTTTTCTGGCTGGCAAGATCTGACCCTAATCCTTAAATCCTTAATCCTTAAATATTTTTTAGTTCTTAATCCGCAATCCTTAAATTCCCAGCACCTACCGACCCGCACCTAGCGCCTGACCGCGCGGGCATGCTCGATCGAGCGCACGTCACTGACTGAGCACAGCAACCCACGCTGGCCCCAACGCCGTTATCAGTTCCGTTATTATTCAGCCGTTGTCAGTTCCGTTATTCTTCAACCGTGTCAGTTCCGTTATTCTTCAGCCGTTGTCAGTTCCGCTATTTTGCAGCCGTTGTCAGTTCCGTTATTCTCCAGCCGTTGTCAGTTTCGTTATTCTTCAGCCGTTGTCAGTTCCGTTATTCTGCAGCCGTTGTCAATTTCGCTATCCTTTAGCCGTTGTTTAGTCTTGTATCGTTGTGACCCTGGATTGCAAACTTCAAACCTGCGCTCTTCAGATTGTTGCGCGATTTGAAGAATGCTGTTTTCCGCCTCAATCCAGTGGGATCCGCCGCTGTCGCCGTATTGCCAGTCCACCGAGTTGCAGTGTTGCAGGACAAGTCCCTCTGATCAAACAGCTCACATACAGGCGTCTTGCAATTGGTCCAGCTAACTTCCAAAGAACTGTGCTTGTTGCCGAAAAGTGCGTTTTTACAATGACGATTTGCCAAGATCCAGGCTATGCAATGTGTGGCTGGCGGGGTAGGGCAGAGCTGGGACGTCATTTTAACAATTTCGATAACTTACCATGATGACAAGCTTGGTCTGCAGGCTGGCTCATAGCATTATCATGTTGCCACTAATACAGCGTGATAGGGCCACGTTAACCACAGCCAAGATAGTCATTGCATTACTGGTTGATGATCTGACACCTACACGGAACATGTAGGCGCATAAGTGAGGTAGTGACAGTGGTATAGACAAGAATGGTTATGAGACCTTGGCCCCCGCCCCCGCCCGCCGCAGTTCAGGTGGTGGGGTCCACTGGGCTCATGTGCGTTTGGACAGCTTAAGACATCCATAGGGCTGCAACATCGAACACAGATCCCGAGGCATCAGAATGGATCCCGAGCCTGAAAGGTCTGTCAAATCCCGAAACAGGGTCCTTAAGCGATGAAGAGGACCCTTGACTGGCACAGCACACACTAATCCGAATTAGCCCTATCATAGGTGAAATCCTGGCGACACCTCTGAGTAGCCTGGACTTCACTCGTACGGAGTTATCCAATTGCGAAGATTGCGCGGCAAAACATACTTGTATATTGACATTCGCTTTTGAACCCACCTGACTTTGTCTTGGTCTGTCCTGTGACCTTCATAACTCACCTGACTTTGTCTTGATCTATTTTGTGACCTTTTTAACCCATCTGACTTTGTCTTGATCTATCCTGTGACCCTACCTGACGTCTTGGCTAGCCAGCAATGGAATTGCTATCGAAATTTGCTAACTCAAACGGTGCAACTACCTAGATGTACAGAACCTACACGCTAGCAGCCACCACGCCGGTAAACTAATGGAGGATTTTTTCCCCCACTTGGCGTCACCTTAAAATATTCCGGGGTTTCCAGCCAGCAGCTTGCGGAAAACGGTCGGAAAATGGTGGAGAGTATTGGCATCTCCGGCGCCCTCTCGACCGTCGCATATTGGGAGTTGGGGAACTCATTTTCAGTGTGTATCCGCCATAGGCAGCTCGGGGAACGCTCAGGATTCCTGACAGGCTGTTTGGGGAAAGGTTGGGGCGCTGACCGCGATCGAACATTTTCGAGTGCGTAACTGCTATTGGCAGCTCGGGGAACGCTCCGGGCACCCCGCTTGGGAAATTGAGGAAGGGTCCGAAACAGGCTGGGAATTCCAACCAAAGCGTCTCACTCTCGGAGCTGATCCCAAGCATTCCCCAACCAGAAAGTTGGACAACATTCGTAATATCCCGGTTGGACTGGACCGGAATTGTTCGCTGGGTTTGAAGAAAAGCTGTTTGCGACAGGCACAATAGAACAATAGACTTGCATCACTGCATAAAAACGCAATTTTCCCGTTGTCGTTGCTATTTTGCGGTTTGTCTGGCTACTGCCGGCGTTTAGCTGGAGTGAGGTAGCTCTTAGCCTTTTATAAGTCCTTAAAAAGTGTCGACCTTCGGAGGAGGATTAAAAGATGGAAAAAGGGCAATGCACATGAAATTACGTAGCACCGTAAGTGCCATTCCCTACTAAGCATTATTACCAAGGACATGCGAGAGCCCATCGTTTACCATCACCAACCCAGCGCACTACCCAACGAAACGTGACAGGGATTGAAACCCCATAGTGCTGACTTATTGTCGATCAGAAGTGTTCGAGGGTAGACGTTGAGAACGACAGAAGATTTAAACACGTGCTTGGGTGGGGGTCAACTTGACCCCTCCAGAATGTTTTTTCAGATTAGTTTTTGAACGATACGGAGTATCCGCGCCAGATTTTACATAGCTGTAGACAATTGAATAGCAAATCGTTTGGCATCAAAAATTTAAATGTACCCTGTAAGGTCGCTGACCTATGGCAGGTCAAATTCAGGCAAAGGTTTCAGGGAATCGTGCAATCTTATCTAACAACAGAGTGTTAAACGAGGCCATACAACTCTGAAATATTTTTTTAGGCAACGCAACAATTGGATGAACAAATTGCATTGGTCTAATGTCAGTTATCAAGGTCAGACCAAGATCAAAATCAACCCGCTTTATTACCCTAGGGCTTATTGTATGGGGTAGTTTCTGGTGCACATTTCGAATTTATTGATTGCAAGAACCGTATTATACATCTTTCATTTACTTTTTAGAGGTCAGAATGGGTCATTGCCCTAGAATAACCCAGGTCAACATTTTGTTTTTAGGAGCATACTGCCTGGCGTAACTTATGTCGTTACCCAAATGCAAAACTCAAAGTTGTCTATATTATTTTGGTCACCATGACCTTCAAAGGTCAAACGGGGCTACTGACCTCATATGAGAATGTGACCTTTTGCTTAGAACAGTTGTCTAGGTTCCAGGGGTCCTTTGGAGACCAACCTGGAATTTGACCTTGTTTGACCTGACCTGGCCAGAATGTCATAACCTAGGAATCTCAAAATTTGACCTAAGTAATTTCACGTGCAGGTCAACACACCCTGTGAATTTGGTGTTTCTAGCTCTATTAGTTCCTGATATCTCAGGGGGTCAAATTGACCCCCACCTTAGCGAAGGATATCCACCCGGGCGCGTGTTTAAGGGAGTGTTCCACATTTGTATGGGGGGGGGGGGGGTTGAGCTGAAATTGCCATCTTGAAAATCATTCAATACAGTTCACAGCCTTGCCTTCTCAAGACTTAAGCCAACGACATTTGAATTAAGTTATTCCATTGGCTATGCGGTGATCAATGCCATTAAAAGTATAATAGTCGAGTCGTTCATATATGGCGTTCGTGAGCACGATTTCCGGATACAATGGCCATCAGCTGGCTCTCAGTCAATGTTGTGCAGGGCACGATGACGTAATCAAATGATGACGAGTTGAAGAACAGGCTTACTAAACATAAAAATGGTTTATCTAGAACAGTCTTTTCCGCTTAAAATTATACCAAACTTATAAGTGAAGTTACTTCATCGTACCTGATGTTTGCTTCAGTATTTTCAAATGTGGAATATTCGCTTTGATCGAAAGAAAATGCGAGCTATGTTACACTATCTCTTCATGGCACAAGAACTGTTTCTAATTGAGGATGTAACGAAGAGGCCAAAATCGACTCGTAGCCTAAAACTGGTAGCCCTTAGGCGTGTGTTTTATTTCAACGCAGCTAACAACTTAGCATTGTTCATGATACGTTGTTGAAATTCGTCACGAACCAATTTCTGCTGCTGGATTTGCATATAGACGACGGTCGGCCGTGCGTGAATGCGTTTCATAACCACACATTGTCCAAACGATGCGTGATTAAGGCTGGAACATTACTCACACTATGTAAACACATTTGTAAAATTGCCGATTTCATAAAGGGCATTATTCATACCATCTTGTCATCATGTCGTGTGACGGCCTGCGTGCATGCGCTTCCGAGAGGCATTTCGCGTAGCCTTTCAGGGCTCTCCGACCATCGTGTGACGCGGCCTGTTGGCTGCCACTTTTAATTCCGTCTGAAGCGAAGATTTAATTGCACTCTGATGATGCGTAATCCCAAAGTTTGCCTTTGCCTGTTAACCCGAATATGTGCGAACACGGGAGGTCGATTTTTCAATAGGAAGATCCGATGCCAGATTCTATCACACCTCGCACCGAGCCGGCGCGGAGTCCGCGCGGCTCGACTTTGGCCGCGCGCGTGCCGCGAATGGGTGAATGCGCCCGGCGAATTCGCTTCCGCTGTGGCAGGTGGCCGGTCCCCGGCGCCGCCGTGATGCGGGTTTATTAGAGAGGGTTCATCAATTCGTAATGAGGGTAACACGACGGCCAGCTGTGATTGGCCGAGAGCCGACCGGCCGGCCAATAACGAGACCTCGGCAAAAAATGGAGCCCTGACGAACCAGTCTGGCGTCGACGGCACCGGCTTTGGCCGCACAACGCCGCCGGCTATAGCCCCGTGCTCTCCTTCAGACCCGCCAGCCTTTCGTCGTTCCGTCCGTGCCGCCACAGTCGCGGTACGCTATGACCAAGCACGGCCACCCGCCGCCGTCGCGTTCGGCCTGTATGTTCGCCGGCGGCGCCGGGGGTCAGGACGGGGTGGACGCCTGGGGCGGCGGTGGCGGCGTGACCCCTGACCCCGCAGGGCGCGAACGCAAGCTGCTGCGCACGTGCAGGAGGCGCAGTGGGGCCGTGGTGAAGCACGCGGCGCACAAGGAGAAGCCCGTGCACCTGGTGCAGCGCAGAAACGCCCGCGAGAGACGCCGCGTGCAGGCAGTTAACGTGGCGTTCAGCAGATTGAGCAAGGTGGTGCCGCTGGAGAGCAGGTAATGCCGGGTGGAGGGAGTCGAGAACTGGTGTCTTTGAGCGGTGCATGCACTGACAATGTTTGATGCTTGTGCTCAGTTTGTGTGACAATGTGAACGGTACATTCGTGAAATATTACGCTGCCTGCGCTTGCGACTTATTGATGTCATACATCACCACCCCCACCACCCGCAACACAAAATTGACACGCGTGGTCAGTCGCTCTAGTGCAGGTGATCGTGCCATCTACGAATCCTTTAAAGCCATAAGACGTTACTTGATGCTGTCCATCCTATTGCGAAGCCCGTAGTGCACCAATGAGTGGCCGATTTCGCCTTTCTGAGTCCATTCTCAAATGTCACTTCCCGGTGCGCACACCTGTGAGATTCGATGACGAGAATGGTGCGAGCGCACGACAAGCCAGATCTCGACCATTTTTGACCCCGCTCGGCAGAGGAAGATGTCCTGCTGGTTTGTAATAGAGTAAATGAAGCCGAATTCAACGGGCAGCAACATACATGCTGCGACAGAATCTTATTTGGCCCATCGTTTTCAGGAATTGTGTTAATTTCAGGCTGACCGAGAAAACAAAATGGCCAGCGCACTTCTTGTGCCTTCATTTCGATCCTCACTTTACACTAACCCGGATGAAATGTGCCATAAAAATGTGATTAAAAAATATCAATCGTTTCTGCCGTGGTTACTTGATCTACCTACCTATATATATATATATATATATATATATATATATATATATATATATATATATATATGTATGTATGTATGTATACGTCCTGCTCTGCCAGTTCGTAGTGGAATACCAACATTCTGCCCTTAGAGGTTTCAGTTCCATTTCAGCTTGCTTCACTTTGGACAACCCGTTCTTCCCGCGCCCTATCGCAAACTCATAATCGACGCATGTGCGATAGTTGTGGGGTAGCCCTACCCTAGGACACTTCGTTGACACGCTTTGTAGATCATATGTTATTCGTTGAGTCCCTCATGAAGATGCAATGTTCCCAACTTATCAATCCACTTACTGAGTCTCTGAGCCTCCTAGGTACCACATTTTTGTTCCACAGCATGTCCAAGCCACCAACTTTTACAGTATTTATGGAGCAGTCGCATAGTTAATCCTAAACGCACAGCAATTTTAGGGCGGTAGGAATGGTTTGATGAAAGTGGAAGTGGCTTTTGTCGTCGGATGCTTTTGAAAACAAATCAGCTTCAATATCGTGGTCTTTGGTCCTGCATTTTGCCTCAGAATTGTATGTCAGTTTCCAAATGACGAACGTTTGCCTGAATGTTTTGTTTATGCTGTTTGAAACGCTATGATACTGTTTTAATGCCTGCTGACTGTGCAGCCATGCTCCAAAAATGCCACGCATGTAAGCTGCCGGTTGGAGGCTTGATTTCTCATGAAGTTCTAGCTTCCACGCCCCCCAAAACACGCACAATTTGGCCCTAGTTTTTGTTTAGCCTACAGCAATGCCTTCAACTTGCACGAAGTACGCGTCTGAAAACAGGAGAATGCTGTTGTTCCTTACAACTAGCTCAGTAATTTTCAGTGTGCCCTCTGTTCGATTTTTTGGTAATGCAGTTGGTCTATAGCCGATTGGCACGCTGCAATCCCCTCCTGCAGTGGTACACTAGAATAGAAATTATGCACCTAGTCTTCGATCAGATCACGGAGTGCTAGATTTGCTTTTCTAGATAAGTCACCTTTGGCCTCTGGTCCTGCCTCCTGTGCCAGTACCCCCGTAGGCGCATCAAACGTTCCCGCTCTTGAAGGTCGGCGATCATTTCAGTAGTTCATGGCTTCTTAATCTGGACAAAGTTCTAGCCTTTGTTTAAAACCTAAAGACATGTAGACATAAAGACGTCGGACCAAGAAAGAGCCACGAGGGACCATTCAGGTTAGCCTACCCTAGGTGTCTAACCCATTCTTGAACTAATCTTACCGCCTGACCTGCCTGAATTTGGCCATAAATGAGATCATTAGAACTCGTGCAAATGGTTTTATAACGTTACTGGGGAAGGCCTTCCTACAACTTCGTTTGGCAGTCCATTTCAATGTTTCACTATTCTTAACTAGATGACACCTGCCTCTCCGTAGCTTTACTTCTGCCTTTTGCTGATTAAAAGTGGCTTTCTCTAAGCCTCGGCCTAAATTTCCAATGCTGCTTGTAGATCTACCTTGTCTATCTCTTTCGTTATCTTGAAATCCCCTCTAAGTCTATGGCATTTCAGTGAGTACAAATCCAAGACCCTAGGCCTATCCTTATATTCTAAGCTGCCAATCCCATTTATCATCTTAGTTGCTTTTCGCTGTACTCTCTCAAGCCTATCTATATCTTCTTGGAAGCGGGGGGCGGCAAATCTGTACGCAATACTTTAGGTGTGGTTTGACATAGGCTAAGTACAACTTTTTGACAACATTTCGTCCCTTGGAATGGACTTCTCTGTTAATAAAACCCAGCATCCGAAGTGGCTTGCCCCTAGGAGCCCCACAATGCTTTTCGGCCCTTAAACTCGTGAAAATTATAACCTGTGTGTATAACCAAGTGGTGTCCGTCCTCAATCTGGTCCAACCACCGGTCTTCCAATTTATAGCTAATGCCCTCACTGCCAGAACCACCTAAATGCCTCACACTTATCATAATCAGATTACATCTGCCACAGACAAGCCCAGGTCACCAGTTTCTCTATGTCAAGTTTCACCTGCTCTGCCTTTTGCGACTCCCCTGTAATTCAATGTCGTCAGTAAGTTCAAGTACCTTACTTTCTAATCCTATCGCAAAACTATTCACACAAATTATAAAGAGCAACGCATCCAACTCCGACCCCTGTGGAACCTCGCTCTCTACTAGCCCCCACGGATATTTCGTACCATTGAGCACTTCTCTTTGCGTTCTGTCTTGCAGCAGAGCCCCTACTCAGCCAAAAACTTTTCCTTCAATACCATGCAATTTTAGCCGAGATAAGAGACGTTGGTATGGCACCTTATCAACTGCCTTACTTAAATATAGATAAACGACGTCTAAACTATTGCGTTCATGTATCTGACTAGTAACATGTTCCATGAATTCCAGAAGACTTGTTAAGCGTGACCTACCAGAAAGAAGTCATGCCATCTACTTTTTATCAACTGATGTATATCTGTATCAGGGGCAATTCAACTTTGATAGAGACAATTCAGCGGACGTTAATTTCCTCGATAGATTGATGACCTTCAACATTTCTCGCTACTGTTGATGCTGATGCTCTTGTCACTGCCGTCGCTGCTGGGGCTCCTGGTGCGTCCGTTGCCGCTGGTACTTCTGCTGCTCGCGCCCCTGCTTCTATTTCGGGTCCTGTTCTCACCCTTGCTACTGCTGCTCTCTCTCTGGTGCTGGTGCTGCTGTTAGTAGTGCTCCTGCTGCTGCTCCTAGTACTTCTGCTGGCCGTGTTGCTGCTGATCGTGCCCAAAAACCCCAGTCCCCACCCAAAATGCCAGATTTGGCCCGCTTGTTTCGAGAGAGCATGGCATTCTTCACTTATTTTAATGTGTCACCTTTTTCAGCTGCAACCGGATCCAGAAGCTACCAGAAAATGCAATAAACTGAAGAAACCGAACGTTAACTAACTGCATTGAATAACCCACCGGCGCTGTTCAATTTACTCTGGTTCAGTGGAATTTCTCTAAGCTGATAGCCGTCAAGGGCCTCGCCGATTTTTTTTGGGGGGGGGGTTGGGTGGGTGGGTGGGTCCACAGAGATATTAAGGAGAACCCCCCGGATTGAACGTAGCTTCTAGATTGGAATGGGGTCGAAAAGTTGTACTGACTTGTCCTTATCATGTTCGTCTAAAGGCGTTCAACCCTTATTCAGAATGGAACATTGGAACAACTATAGATCAGTTCTGAATATAGGCGCCCACAAGTCTTATAAACAGACGCACCGACAGTTGCAGTCTCCCCAGGCCGCACAGCGTTGCTCCCGTGGCTGACATTAGGCTTTGGTAACGTGAACGGATTATCATTTAGAGCACTGCGAACCCTTAGAGCTATGGTGGCATCTCAATTTTCGTCTTGCTCTGACTACTCAGAGGACATTCCCAAAATTCTACAGGTGAAATATACGCCCCAGTCCATGTTTGAAACGTAACAAATGATTTTGTGAGACTGACGGAAGAATTCTTTCGCGACACATGGTCGTTTCGCGCGTCCAGCGCCCACCGTATGTTATTATCTGCGGCGGCCAACTCCGCTGGGTTTGGCGAAAACTACAACACCGGACATCGATGTTTTTGCTGCTAAAGCTCGCGCGTGCGAACACTCAGTTTTTTTACACGATTGGTTCCTCCAACCGATTCTGAAAAGGAATGGTCATCCCCATGCTAACGTAGGCAGGTCATGCTGATACAAAGATTTGACCTCATTCGAATCCACCGTATAGAACACGAAGGAGACACCTTACCTTTCCTGGGCGAGGGGCTCCGTGGGTAGCGCACTGTGGAACACCTTACCTTTCGTGGGCGAGAGGCTCCGTGGGCAGCACACTGTGGAACACCTTACCGTTCGCGGGCGAGGGGCTCCGTGGGTAGCATACTGTAAAACACCTTACCTTTCCTGGTCATGGGCTAAAGGACTCTTCCTTCCCCACCCAGGGTACCTTTCAGCTGTCTTTCGGACGAAAGGGGGGCCGGGCCCCCTGGTCGATTCAAAAGCCCTCAGAGGGATACATGACACATCTGTCCCCTCCCTGATGCAAGAGGCCCCCTGATCGAGCCAGTTGGACCCGGATCAGCGCAGAAGCCCTCACGGGCGCAGAAGCATCCCTTACCGGCGTAAGGATCAGTCAGATTGGCGCAGGGACTCCAGTTCGGCTCATCAGACCTCGAAATAAAATGTAGCGGAGGGCCTCTTCGGCACTGGGGCCCCTAACTGACACAGAACCAGGGACGACGCAACAGGGGGGGGGGGAGGGGGGGGGGCGGGTAGGAGTAGTTCCCCCCACCGCCGGCTGGCAAGGGTCAATAA